GCACTATTTCCTACGTATATATATATATATATATATATATACTCGATTTCATTGTTTCAAAAAATTCTGCAGGGAGAATCTTCGTCGTTGTTTCACGTTGACACTATATCGCATCACAATGATTTTCGTCAATATCTGTCACATAATTGCAATTGTCATTGTTATTTATAACATTGTAATTACTGGCAAGGGTGGCCGACGGATTAAATCAAAAAGTTCTTGAAACTCAAACAAGAACACGATAAGTTACTTTTGGGCATATGACATCTTTTCGCTCATTGGGAAGGCAATATCAAATTTTGGAGCTTTTTATGTGATAATGAGGAATTCACGATAATTCAAAAATCTTCTTTGCCATCACAACAATTAGATGGAAGGTTTCGTTTTGCCGAGGAGAGGAAGGTCAGATAACAACAATCATATCCAACATTCAATAAATGACAACAATTTGACAAGCCTTAACTTACTGGCTTTATTCAACACTTCTTAAAGACAGCGAAATTTCATCTATTCTTATATGTAGAATAATATCGAAATTCATCAACAACGAAAAATCATAAACAAGCAAAGGACAAAGATAGACACAAGAACTGGGCTCATTCTTCATGCCATGCAAATCTATATATCTTCTATGGCATTCGCTCAATAAATAAATCTGATAATTTATCTTCATTTCAACTTGAAACGACACAATTAACTGCCATCTCTATCACCTTTACTGTCCTCATTGCCTTCAACGTCCCACGTTTTATGCGACACGTTAATTGTCAACACGATCACTACTGTTGATGCACAGCCCTTCGTGCTCCCCTCCCCTATCTATTCTTCGCCTGTTGCTATCTGTTCCACAGAAACATCACGCATACACACACATACACATGCACACTCACACTCACATATACCAACATGTACACATATTCTGCATACACTGACATACACACATACATGATACATGTAACTGGACGACATTGATTTCTATGTGATGTAAAGTTGTCTCAATTTATTCCCACTTTGCTCTTGCTAACTTCACGTTACAAGAGCATCGCCTCGGATTGACATGTTGACGAATGATGGAAGCCGACCACGTTTCAGTGTGGTGATTAGCACGTGTCTCCATCAGTGTTCGAGTGGATAACGTGAGGATAAGCCAATGTCATAGGTTAAACTGCTCGTAGGAATCCAATATAACTTTGTATGGTAGAAAAATTGAGTTGACCAGCGCGTTGACCTGTTTGTTTGTCCTGTAGCAATTGACTTGTTGTTGAAGCTGACTTATAGTTAAAGAAGTTCTACGTGCAGAATGTACATGAATAATAAATGCTGCGGCATTTAAATACTTGAGCCATGGCTGCTACTTCATGTGCAGTTAAACATTGTCGTGTTAATGGACAAGAGGTAGACGAGTTTACTTGCAATTACTCTCAATGTCCCCAAAGTTTTCCAGATCCAAATTATAGAAGTGAGGCTCCTCTCTATGTGTTATTTAATCATTGTTTACCGATGCTTTATTGATTTCAGTTGAAATGAACGAGTAATGACGGAAAGAAGTGAACTGCAACACTGGCATTGGAAAAATTGCAACAAATGAACCATGTACAAGAAGAAATGTAAGCATTCTTGTTGCTATTATTCTTTCTAAACTAAGCGTGCTAGCGGTTCAGTATGTCATTATTGCATACTACTCTTGGATCAAATGAATGGCGCTCTGATAGAATGCTCCGATCGCACAGATTACTCAAGGTTTTTTTCTACTTTTTATATATTACAATTTTGCTTGAGGTATAAGTGAAGTGACTGGTTTTATTACATGTGGTTCACTTTCAGTGATAGTGACGCTTTGCTTGTTCTATATGAAAATTTTCAACACCAGTCAGGCACACCCTCTCATCCCGGTAGTTTGTAATATTATTACTTTTTGTTTAACTCTCAAAGTTCCAGTGCCTAGCGCAGTGTCACGTTGTACTTGGTCTGATAATTTTTATATTGGCTGCATTAGCAGATTATATGAGTTCACGAATTCACACAATTCGAATGGTTGGTCTCGAGGAATGCTGCTCGTTTTACTTCATCTTGACGGGGTAATTTTTTATTTTGTGTTTCTCATGAACGAAAAAAGATCTTGTATGTACACGCAAGAAAGATACTCAAAATAATTAAAAACTGTGCCTTATACTTGTTGTAAGCTTATAGGGTAAATCATTCCAGAATAAATAAAAAAGGCGTAGTGGTACCCACATGCTGCTCTTCCTTTCGGAAAAGGTTAAATTATCGACCTTATCTTTGAATATTATACTCTTCAGTATCATTGGAATTTGTGGTTCGGCCAGTCATCGTCGCGGTCTAATACTGGCATTCATGGTAATGAATCTTCATGCGATTCTCATTTTCGTGCCAGCAATTGTAATTGTTTCTAGCTTCGATATACATTTTTATCAGGTCTGTAAATTTTTTAAAATTACATCCGGCGTTGAACTAGATTGGACTACTGGATGACAGGAACCAAAACCTTTTTTTTAGGCTGAGTGTTTCGGCGAGTGTGATTGGCATTTGTTAGCGACAAGTATACCAGAAAATAGTCGATGCCAGATCCTTTGTGGTGAAAATATTGACGACAACAAGAGAAGGTATCACTCCCACATTTGTTCGAAAACTTTTTGAACTGAATTGATGCCAGAACAGTAGGTGGCATTTGTTTTTCAGGCACATTGTAAATTTTTCTTTCCTGACTGAAAATCTTGACCTGTGGAGACTACCGATAGATGGTTGCATGATGCAAAACTTTCTAACAGTCTGGTCATTTGTTTCAATTTATAGTTAAATTTGCACAGTTTTGCAAGTACAATGAGTAAGACTTGATTTGTAGTTAAATAAAGGGAGTGGACGAATATAAATCATAAAACTATAAATTATAAAACGAAAACTATAAATTCTTGTAGTTTGATGACACGATTGGGGACTGAGTATCGTTTGGATGCTGGTATTATCGCAGCAACTATCTTGCAGATGGTACTCTCCCTTTTTTCTGCATCACTTTGCTGTCGGGAAATATGTATCGAGTGTCGGCCGATTATGTGGAATGTTGGTGTCCGTTTCTAAGATTTTTGAAAATTAAATTTGCCTTTACAAAGTGGCACTTGTCATATATTTTGTATTAAATCCTATCACAGTGTCCATGTTCAGATACCCTTTTAGTTGGTTGCATATTATTCATGAAGAAAACTTCACACTTCAAGTCAAGATTAAAATTTTTGACATCTATTTTCTATCCAGACTTTTGATTCAGACGAAATGTAAATGTTAAGAACTTTATTACTTACCAGGCTGAACCCTTGAAGTGACTGAACTTTAAGATTTTCTATTTCAGAATCAGCAGCTGAATATGATGACGCCGCTAAATCTGCAGGATGGTGCATCATATTGAAAACAAAATCTGTTTCCTGTTATTGTAGGTGTTATTGAAGAAGGTGCTACTGAAGAGTATGTTTCGCCAAACTTATCATGTACAAGTTTCAATGGTCATTTTGATGGTTTTTGTACCGTTTCACATTTAGAAAATAGAGAGGAAGTATAAAACCCATGTTTTTTGTGCATTAGAAGAGCAGCGGGAAGGTTCAGGAGATTTAGATGCTGGAAAAAGATGAATGGAGTTGTTTTCTATTTAATTCAGTAAACCAATATTTGGCACTTCCTTCCTTTAGCTTGCAAATAGATCTATGCTTTTTGGTTTTCAAAACATCATTTTGTGAATTACATTTTTTGGTGGGCCGCATCGCCAATTATGCTGTACTGTCGTTACGTCATTACCGTGTAAATGTAGGTTCCAAAAACACTTTGAAAGATCAGCACATTTTCGCCCTTCCATCTTTGTATGTCGGGCTATATCTGCATTTATCAGTTAATCAGTTGTAATTCATTTCAAACCATCAGTAAACGGGAACTCTTTACTTGATTACAATCTATTTCCTGCCGCAAATACGAAACGACACTGGATCGAAATCGAAATCCGATGCTTATTTCGTACTTACTTCTTACGCTACTTCATAGGGTGAAATAATGAAAGCGGCCGCAAAATGGTCTCTAAAATGACCACAACTTGGATGAAACAATCACATACAGATCAGAGTGATATACCAAACGCTGAACACATGAAATAATAAAGAATTCTGAAGGAACACTTAAGGAAGTTTCAAACAAAATTTAAGCTGAATATTGGTTGATAAGCTTCAGTCAGCTGTATTCGGTCATTTTTCTTTCAAGCTGTGCTCTTATATTATTGGTACTAGAAGCATGAAACCTTTTGTGCATTACAGAAGTTAAATACGACTGAAATTCTATTCAGCCGCAACATAAATATTTTAGCATCTCCATTTCGTCATTCTACTCCAAAGGATGGCAATATCAAGTGATGGTATTCAGTTTGAATAATAGCATCATCCCGGTGTTGCCAGATGGAGAGATTCAGGAAGCATGAATTTGTTCCGGAGTCATTTATTTCGTCAAGTCAAGTTAATCACACATGGGAAAAGATACTGCCAACAAAGGAGCTGCAATCTGACAGGAGAAAGGGCTCATGTCAACAATATGAACAGCTAGTAACTGAAGAATCCTTTTATGTGGGGCATGTATTTGTTTCCGGTACATGAAGTGTGAGATCCGTGTGGTAATAGGTTGGAAGTTGCGGAATACATTTGCTGCATTCTGAGTTGCAAAACTTTAGACCTGCGTTCTAAGACGTTCTTTAGACGTTTTTTTTTTCAGTAAACCGAGGTGAATTCGAAAAAAACGGTTGGATCTCCTCATCTTACTTGATAATAAACTTTAAAGGTTTTCCAATCTTAAGGGAAGAAGGTAACTCGCTATCATTATTTCCTCTGCTGTGGTTTAAGATATGTCTTACATTCAACGAAACATCAACGAAACACGACATACTGATTCTCAAAGAAAACCTTTCTTACACCAACGTTTTGTGAAGTATGCAATAGGTAGTAAATTCCCTTAATAAAAGAGTTCACATAATCACACCAAACACTTCATTAAATGTCAAACAAAAGTACGAGATGAAAGTGATGCCTGACGAAACCATGTCTTCCAATTCAGAATGTAAAAATAAAATGACACTTTATTAATTTTCATCACTTTAAAAGCAGATCATTTTCTTGATCGATAAAAGAGAAGAGCTGCAGAAAACAGGCTTAATGGTATTGCTACTCGATATCCACAAATTATTCTTTGCTATATCGTTCCTTCTCCAGTGAGATATTATTTCATTAAAACGATAAATTGAAACGTAACTACACAAAATTTTATATTCTGAGAAGGTGCAGATGGTGAGAATTCCCAAAGGATGTAAATAAATTTTATGACTAAATATGCTACTGCTTCTAGAATGTATAAAGCCCTATTTTCAAAAGTAGGCTATTTTCACTTGCTCGTGGATTGAATAGAAAGACTGGACAACATAATGCTTAAACTGTTACGAAAACTAACGTACGATCACGCTTGACGTTTCACTAAGCCATTTCAATAGCCTTAGTACGTAGTTCTCCTCTCTTTCTGAAATTTTCGGCGGAAGTACAAATCACATTAGTAATTTTATTACAAGTGGAACGGTATACAATTGAAAATATTGCTTCGAAAGGGTCCAGAGGAAATTTGTAAATTGCATTATAATACATATCACAGTAAGTTGAATTCTGCACTTAAAGATTTTGCAAGACTAACAGGTAAACAAAATCCTTTTGTACACACAAAATCAGAAATGGACATAAGACTGAAACTGTTCACGATGTTGAACTGCTATGAGTAAATGAATTTCTAATTTTAACTCAAATTTTATAAATTTCATAAAATTTTCAACAGAAATATGCATAGTGCATTGCAGCAAATTCTTGTAACCTCGAATTAGATTTGATTTAAACCACTAAAAGTAAATCCATAACGAATAAAACTTCAAGAATGAAAGAAACTTCGTAGAGGAAAAGGATTTCAAAATCATTAGAAATGATTTTTTTTAATGATTTCGGTCTTTACTCCTTAGGCCTTTGGGTAAAGGAATACTTGCTGCACAAGATTCTCTTTCAGTATTTGAAAAACTATTTGACGGAACATTTCTCAACAATCAACAAAATAAAAAAGGTGGAAGCAAGACTTTTTTCTTCCACAGTCTACGGCAAATGATTGAAAGAAAAACAAACTACTAAGATAAGCCAGACCAAATATAATTTCTCCAACTGGACGCTGCCGTTTTACTCGTTACAACATCCGCTACAATTAATAGGATTCAATTCCTAAAGCTAGCAAGTTCTACAAATGATACGAATTTGGACGTTAAAATGCAAATACCGGTATAGTAAACTTCTGTTTTACTTTTTGTTTTCTCATCTATATTTATTGTAAAATATATTTTAGAGAAATTCTGAGATATTGTAATTTCATATATGAAATGTTGCAACACGTATTGTAAATTTCATTTGTATTGCAAAAACTTGAAAAATGTCAGTTAACTTTTCGAACATTCAATATGTTCTTCCTTTCATCCAGATTCTAATCAGTTCCAATTTCCTCCAGCAATAAATATGCAAAACACAAACAACTGTTTGGAAATTTCAAAAAGGAAAAAAAATTTTAACTTCCAACGATTAATAAAAGACAAAAAATGTACCTTCAGCCACCTGACTGAGCAAATTCACTTCATCGCTGCTTAATTTCAACATTGTTGTCAGAACAGGTATCAAACGACCACGTTCCTCGGTGACTTTTTCTGGTGCAATAAACTAGCAAAAATCATAATTCCTTCTCAAAACATCTGGACAGGAATTTGTTAGTATTGTCATATAAGCATGGCAATATATCATATCACTGTTGCAGTGCAATATTACTAAATCAGTATTTGGATTTACAAGATTATATCATAAATGAAGTTTCAAGAAGCTTCCCCAATAGACCTGACTGGAGCATGAAATCTGGCTGCAACATTGCTTCTGCGAAGAGCAACAATGAATGCATCTTCGGAAAAATTTAGTTTTTATGAATGCAATATAAAAATTTGTAGCGAAAAAGTATTCCTTATCGAACATCAGATGAGAAATTAACGGCTCCAATTTCGCATCAAATTTCATTATATGGACCTACACTGTAAGCATGCTTAAAATTTCCTTACCTTCATGATAACATTTTTCAAATACTCAGTATTGGCCAGATGATTTTCACGCTCCCGATCACGTTCAATTTTTCGAATCTCTTCTTTCAAAAATTTTGTTTGCTCTACCAATCTTGCATTCGTTGCTTCGCTTTCATTTAAAAGCTCTCGTGTATGTTCTAACTAAATCAAATTTCAATATGTGGTAATTATAAATTTCTTCAAAAATGCCTTATAGTGAGTGCCATTACATCACTGTGAGATCTAAGAGTCATTTCATCCCTTGCAATGCAAATTATAATGAAAGCGAAGTGAGCTTTAGTAAATTAAACCAAATTTCCCTATTCTAACATTAAATGTAATAATCACGAATGCTATGAAAAAAAATGCCCATTTACTTCAAAGATCAAGATTGTTAGCTATAGTATAATCGAACTTGTCTGGTAATCATTCGGGTAACATCCTGTGTTACTGAACTATCTGGTTGGTTCCGAATATCAGTTATGATCAGTTCTTCAGATTCTCCATAAATCACTTCCTCCAGTGACTTTTCTTCGCATTTTTCCTCATTATCATTACTTTTTGCATCTTTGTTCGCTGCATCTGCTGCCTCTTTTGAAGGTTGAATTAGACAGGTGCTGCAATAGATGTTCTTGAATAAATTATCAGTTTTAAGTAAATAGAAATTTTTAAAAAGTGTACTGTAAAGTCGTAGATAATGCAAAACATTTTGTTAGTAAGCCTTTTGTTTTTCAAACTCAGTAAATCGATCATGCTTTCATCTAACTTGACAAAACGATATTATTTTAAAAAAGCATGTTTGCACGTAAGCTTACACTAGCAGTCGCATTTGGATTACTATAATTTTTCAGACCTGGATGCCAGAATTTCTTTAGAAGATTTTTGTAATTGGATAGCTATATTTTGAGCAGCCACTGTTAACTGGATCTTTTCCATTTCTTTTCGCCGCAACATTTCTTCATCCAACGTGCGTTTTAAAAGTTCTATTTCTTCTCGTAAGCTTTCACGTTCCTGTTGTGTAGTTATCAACAAATTCTCCTTTTCTTGATCATGTGAAATGGAACTTGCATCAATCTGGGCTAGCAGTTCCTCATTCAACTTTGCTTGAGAAGCAGATCGTAATTCGAATTCTCGTCGTTGTTCCGATAATCTAGAAAATATAACATATGTTCTCGGGACTTGTTCCAGAAAAATAGTGAATGTATTTCTGAAAGATAACATGTTGAGTTTTATTACGACCAAAATTTTTTAGCGATTTCTGCTAAACATGAACCACAAAAACTGCGTATGGAATAATGGAGAAATGTCAAACCAATATGAAGGATTGAAGTGACTGGATAACTTACTCTTTTTTGTGGGATTCAGCGGCAATATTGAGCTGTCGCTGTAAATTCGATATTTCGGTGGAAAGTGTTCTAACATGTCCTGATGAGGAATCAAGTTCGCTTTGTAACATACGATGTGAATTTCTGGAAGCAGATAAAACTGTTAGGATTTTGGAAGTTGAAGTACCTGCGAAATGAAATTCGTTGCCTAAATTTTGTAATCTCGATAACATGAGCGTACAGAGGATGTGGTTCAAAATTCAAAAAAAATTGTTAGAAGACTCATTTTCAGGAGCTTCTGGTGACAACAATAATGAAGTAAATTGTGATAACAATGCGATTTACTTCTCTCTGAAATCAACATTAAAATCATACTTCGCTTTACTCTTATACCACAGTACAACGGAATAACTGTTGATGGTACGGAAAACATCAAAAATACATTGGTAAAAAATATGAAGTTAAGAATTACAGCTAAAATCTTACGTCAAACTATCAATTGTCCTATTTTGCTGTCGAATCGTTTCCTCTAATATCTCAATTTCTTCTTTCGCGCGTTCATCATTGTCACTTTTCTTCTGTTCCAACACATAAAGGGCTCGTGTCTACAATTATTTCTCCAACAATTCATATAAAATTGAAATTTTAATTTGAAAAATGGTAGTTTGAAATTTAGAAACGTTAATTTAATGGTTCAGTTCAATCCGATAATTTCACCTTGAAAGTTGAGTGCTCTTCAGAAAGATCATCGAACTGTCGTTGTAATGATTCACGTTGAGAACAAAGCGATATCAACTGCCGGTTCAATGAAGCATTCGATGCTTCCAAATCTACAATCTTCTCCTCATTTGCTCCAATCACTGTTAACAATTGATCTCGTTCTCTGTTTCGAGCAGAAACCTGTTTCTCGAGTTCTTCCGTCAAATTTTGTCGTTCTTTTTCATATGAAGCAATTTCTGTTTTTTTCTCTAAAGTGAGATAAGTGATAGATATGAACACTCTTGTTTTTGTAACTACTATTATGCTGACCATACATTCTAGCAAACACCTGATACATTATCAAAAGTTGAAAAAAAAAACCTGCCTTCTAGTTCTTCCTTTAAATTTTTGAGGACCGCATTCAGTTCTGCAATATTCTCAGTGAGCAAAACTTTCCCTCCACGAATATTATCCAATTCCTTCATCGATGCTTCCAACTCTGACAGCAGTGAACGCTTTTCGAGATTTATTGCTTTAAGTTCTTTTTGAAGTCGTCCAATTGTTTTCTCAAAATCGGCCATTTCCAACGTAATCACATTTTCCACACTCTTTTTCTGAATTTAGCAGAAAACATTATTTCATTAACTCACACTGTTTAAACCATGCTCTGATTTTTCCGAGGTCCAAATGAATGAGGTCGAATACACCTTAAAAAAAGTTGCTAAAGTTACAGAAAGTAAGTTGTAATGATGTGAAATTAGTGGAAATTACAGAACTGATGGAGACTAACGAATTGTCCTCCAGTCAATAAATAAACTAGATGTAAAAGTATAATTTTAAAAAACTGACTATTCCATGTTTTTGCAATGGAAAACCAGATAGTTTAAACGTTCTATTCTTCTGCATCTCAGCTTGATCAAGTAACTAAATAAAAAAGGCATTAAACAACCTCTTTGTAAGACTCGATCTGTGCATAAGCATCATCCAACAACGAACGCAGTTCAGCTATTGTATATGTTAATTTTTCGTTTTCTTGTGCTCGCTGGAAGAATTAATGTGCAAATCAATTCATGATGATATTTAAACGCCTGATAATTAGGAGTCATCGGAAATATTTGGAAGGAAATTGAGTTTGAAGGTCATAAAATACCTTGTCACATTCATCTGTTTGTCTTCCAAGCAAACCCTTCACTGAAGCTAATTCGTTTTGTATTTGAACGATATGAATGGGAATTCCGTCATTAACGCTCGATTCGCTGATAAGTTTACATGATTCAGCCTTCCCATCCACGTCCTGAAAAATAAATTTTTTATATCTTGAGAAAATTCCTGCAATGTTCCAAGTCTTCGGTTTTTTTTTCCATTTCTTTTCTCTTCTCGTCAAAAAACTGCGAACAAAGAAGTATTTATTCGATTAAACATCTATTAACAAAATTTCCACATACTGAAATTGCACTAATTTTAACTGAAAAACATTGTAATTTCACCTGGAGTCCTTTCAGCTTCGTTTTTAGCTTTTCAAGTTGTAGCGTTAATTCCGAACGCTCCATTTTTAGGTCATTACATTTCTGAAAAATTTTTTATAAAATGTGAAAAAAAATTCTGATTCTCTGAGTCGTCAAAAGTTCTTTTATTTTTGATTTTAAGACTAGTTCCTCGGTGAGGAGTCTTTCATTAAATGTCCTACCTGTAATAATGTACATAGATGTATATAAAGGAAAATAAACAGTAAAATTCTTAGTGTGCTAAAATATGACATGACATCTAAAATATATCATTCGTCCAAATGCAACTACCTTCTCATATGCAGAATCATTAATATCCCAAAAATATTGGGGACATTTAATTATATCGTTATTTTAACATTTTCGGCTATTATTCTCAAAAAAATGTCAAAATTAACTTCATTCAATTGTTGGATTTCCCTTGTTTTTTCTGTACTTTCTTCTTTCTCGTCATGCAGCTTTCTTTCAAATTCCTGGAACAATTTAAAATAGGGAACAAATCACTTGGATAACTGTTTATGGGTTATCCTGCTAGTGAACTTGAAAATTAAAATAACTAAACAAATCATTTTGAATAGGCTATTTTACTAAAGCAACAGAAGGATATCTATACTGTTTTAAAAGAACTATCTGCAGGTGATGCGCCAATAGAAAGCGTATATGCATTATGGTCAACGAAAAGTGACGTAGTTTTGCGTGATTAAAATACGAAATTATTTAACGGAATATCGACATACAGTGAGATCCTTCCGCACTTCTGCCAGTTCAATTTTCAGCTTTTCATTTTCACACTTGACAGTTTTCAGTTTATCAATTTGTTTTTTAACGAAACGGATCAAATCATCCCGTGAAAGGGCATCAACCTGGAATATGGCTACCTTTGGCCTAAAGTTTGCTTGATGTACCTGAAATTCTGTTCCAAAAGAAAACAAATGGGTACGGTAGACATGCTGCTCCGTGATTAGCCGTGATCACCCTTAAAATGATAAACGCTTCCTGGATCCCTTAGGTCTTCATGGACCCCTTAGGGCCCATGAAGCGTCTATCATTCTCTCTATAACAGTACTTATCACTGCTTTTCACACAAAAGTGGGATTGTTTTGAAGTTCTAGAAATTCTTTCTTCACGTAATGGCAGCGTGACTAACCTTTTTCGGACGGTCATCATGTAAATCCCAATCTGAACCTCTCATCACTCACCTTTGATCGTGGTGTAGCAGTTCCACTAGTTGACGCGGTCACGTCTATCAACGTGCCACTCATCTATCTTAATTCCTCCCTGAAACTCGCAAACCATCAGGACTAACCGAATCACTCAGAACGAACACAACAATAAAACCAAAACAAAGCAAGATCCATGCAATTTGAACCTAAACCCAAGTGGAGATAGAAATTGTGAAGAGCTCGGAAGTGTAGTCGTGAAAGGTTATGGCGTAAACTTTTCTTTCCTCATTTTCTCATCCCTTTCAAATACCCAATCGAGAGTATAGCCCTCTTTTGTTGTTTGGATTAATCATCAGGTCGGCACAATCACAGCGTGAAATGTTCGGAACGGCGATAATGAAGTAGGGACAGAAAAAAACGCTCAGCGTAGGAAGAAACGACCGTCAGTATCCTTCGAAAGCAGCAGTAAAAGGTCAATCAACGGCGGTATCTCCCTTCTTGTCGTGGTGACAAGTGATGAATTTGCCGTGTGATTCATGCTTGTCATACACTTTTGGAATGCGAAAATTTGAAAATGCTAATTTAGGTGATTCGTGGTTCGTTTATAGGCTGAGAAAGTTCAATGAACAGAATATCTCCGCTAAACTATTTTCTCTATCTTCTTCAAGGCAGTCCATCTTACTTTACAGCTTCCCCTTCATATAGAATAGTCATTAACTTTACTATTCATAATGAAACAGATATAAGGTGTGCTAGATGAAAAAGCAATGATACAATGCATTCAGAGATGTTCCTAAGTCTGATAAGGGAACTGATTATCACAGGAACGAAAAAGCAGTTGTAGGAAGTCAGTCCACTGTCCTTTTCCCCATTTCCATTCAACTGCCTGCATCAGTACCACTGCATTGGACGATTTTTTTTGTGTAATGATTCAAAAAACGGTGTTTCTATTCAACCAGCAGATTAAATATAATATGAGGATGGAAGTGCATATTGATAATGATTTGAACAATAAGGAAATTTTCCATCTTCCCGCTCCTCTCCGAGGAAGTTGCATTATATGATCGAATACTGAAAGGAATTCTTAGCCATATAATCTTTCATTTTCATATCAGTCTTTACTAGTAAAATACACGTATCCAGAAAATAATTTCCAAAAAAGGTATTTTGAAACAGACAAATTAAAAGAAATTTGAAAGAACAATCTAATTGAAAAGGATGAATAAAAGCACTTGCACAAAAGAAATGAATGATTGAAAAGAAGTAACTATCAAAGAGTTAACTGACTAATAACTTAACTGAAAACCCATATAACCACATCGGTGTAGTTAGAAACAAATCAATCAACACATGAAAAGCGGGAAGTAACGAAAAACTGGAAGCAGAACTGGATTGAAACTTGTCTGAACTTACTTGCTGAATTCTAAATTTTACGTAGCTCCAACACACTTGACTTACGTCATACTGTCATCTTTGCTAAACAATTAACGTTAAGCAATAATTATGCTGATATATGAATAATTGTATTGGTACACTTAGGAAGATGAGAGACTATACAATTTCTAAAAGAAAATCTTGCGAAAAAGGCAACAAATGATTCTTGAGAAGGTAGCAATTTTTATAAACACTCAGGAAAACTTATTTAATTAATAAAAAAAAAATAGAAAAGATGAGTTGACTATTTCATTCAACCTGAGCCGTATTTGTCATAAAAGAAGTTAGACAAATAAGGAACATAATGATGTAAGTGCAGTAAATGTAGCATTCCATAACTGATATGATATGTAAGTATATGTAAGACTCTTATTTAGCCAGCACTGATTTCGTGATGGATATCGCTCGAATTCAAAATATAATTCATAATGTCGGTAAAGGCAATAGCAGCCATAACACGTTGATTGCAGTCAACAACAAATAGACATTGGTCATCAGATGATAACAACAATGCGATCCCTTCATATACGGTGTGAGTTGGACGGCCAAACGGTGGGACACGATAAACATTCTGAAAATCACCTCAAATTATTTCAACAAATTAAATATGGATTATATTAAGCTATGATAACCTATAGTTTTGACTTTGACTAAGCTATGAGCGCGTCAAAAAAAAAAGAAAAAGAAAACTATATTTGAGCTATATTTGCTTGAAAAGCTATATTTGTCAGCTATATTCCTTTCTCGGAATCCAAAAAAGTTATTAAACCATCTAAC